GGAGGGAGGGAGGGAGAACAAGTCTGGAGATATTTTTCTTTGACCTGCAGGAGCAGGCTGTGATGAAATACACTCCAATCATCCCCCAACACCTGTGTGTGCGCACGCACGTGGATGCATTTTGTGTGGCCCTTGGCAGGTGGAGTCATGCCCATCTGGCACAGGCCACTCCCAGAACTTTTCCAGCTGTGCATAGCCCCGAGGCAGCTTTGCCCTCCAAGAGAGCAGGAAGAACAGACCTTCCCGGGCGGTTTGGAGGTGCAACTATTTTCGCTGACTGACGCAGAGGAAGAACCTGCTCCCCGCTCGGCCTGGGGGGGCGAATCTGCCACTTTTGCTCTTTCCAATGCCAGCATTCCTTCAGAAGAAGCAGAAGGTGCTGTTTTCCACTCCCAGCTGTGCCGGCTGAATTCTTTGCTGCAGCTGGACGGGCCCCCGCTCGAGGCGAGGCGCACCAGACGCCGAAGAGGAAGCAGCACAGCCACCCTCCTTGGCTCCCGACCGGGGATTCAGAGCCCTTGGCTTGGATGCACCGGCTTCCTCTCTCCCATTTTGGTTCTGGAAGTCTTGCATTTTCCCCATCTGGTTCAGGAGAAGCGGGGAACTCCTTACAACCGAACAAGAGAACGGAGCACAATTCTCGGCAACCCCTATTCTCGGGGCAGTTGCCCCCGTCCTTGTGGCAGGCGCAGGGAGGGTATCCTTAATCCCAGGAGAGCGGTTTGGCTGCTCTGCCCCCATCTGAACCTCCAAAATCGAGGACATTCCTGCAGGTTCTGGGAGGCTAGCCAAGGATGGCGTCAGCCGCATGAGGGAAACGGGTACAACCCCCCCAGAACAAACAAGCCGCTTTTCCTGGCTTCCTTCCAACAATGGGGTGCTTTCTTGCTACGAAGATGGGCCCAAAGTCTGACTTGAGCACCTTTGGAAGGAGCCGTACGTCAAGAATGGCTTGTTCAACCGGTTTTAGCTGGCCAAACCTCCCCGCGCCCGTTGCTCACGGAGTAGCAGACGCTTTGCAGGCAGAGGCCTCGGGACCAATTCGGAGGATGGCCGGGGAAGGGGCGAATCGGGGAGGAGGGTGCCATAGTGGATCCAGGGGGGTTACCTAAATCAGATCAAGTGGGGAACCAGCCTAGCTGCCGTGAAAGAGCATGGATCTTAGGAATGAGGAAGGAATGAGTGAGCCCTTAAAGCGGGTGGGGGTGGGAGGTCTCCCAGAAAAGATTTCGCAGTCCGGAGAAAGACGACAGTATGAAAAAGAAACTCAGAACGACCCTGCCTTGATTCT